AAGAAATTCTATCCCTGAATAATTAACTATGATATATTTATAAAACTAGAATAATTGAAAACAGAATTCTAAGTTGATTCATGTGGACTGCACTGAAATATTTATTATTGCAAGTCCAGAAGATCTGTCTGGGTTTTGTCACTGGAAATGTCTAAACTCAGTGTCCAGATGTTTATTTAAGTTGCTCCCACATAGTTCTAATATCAATTACCAGGGGTTATCAGAGAGCATCACTGTGTATCTTCCTTGACTAATATTCTCATTTCTTCTGCATCTTTGATGTTTTGTTTCATTAAAATTCCTGGCTCCCAGCCACAGAAATCTGCCATGCAGGCAAAAAACTGGTCTGCAGACATGACACATGATGATGCCCATTGTCTGTGCAAGGATAATATTTATCATCAGCTATCATTTAAGCAGTTCTATAATCAGTACAACACCAATTTAAAGCAGCTCAGAGAAATACATGTGAAACCAGGGAATAAGAACTTCTAACCAATGTGAAATAACTTGGGTCAGTAAAAAAAGTATTACTGCATTGAATGAAGATTTCTGTGAGTCTGTATGTGGGATTTTTTTTCCCCTTCAGGAAAAAGCTGGGGGAAAGCCACTGACAAAGTAATTTCACACATAATTACAAGTGGAATTGATGGATCTGTAACTCTGGAAACCACAATTACGTTGAGATTTTTATAGTAACCAGGAGACAACACAGGCCACTTGTAACAGTGACTTGAACAGAAAGAGCTTATCACACAGTCTCTTAAGATTTCCTACATTCAAATGAAAATAGTCGGCTAACACAGCTTATTTTATATATACACACATAGATGTGTATGCATGTATACATATATATGTGTATATATGTATATATACACACATACACACAAAATTTGGTTGCCCAAAACCAGTTGGTTCATTTCGTTTGTAGGAAAATTCTACAAGATTATCTAGGCAAGATTTAAAGATCTGTAAGAAAACAGAAGAAAATCAATGCTAATTCAGTATAAATGGAAGCAGAGATAAAAGAGGGTTCTTCTATCTGGAGGGGGCCTACAAGGATACTGGAGAGGGACTCTTCATCAGGAACTGTAGTGATAAGACAAGGGGTAATGGGTTTAAACTTAAACAGGAGCAGTTCAGGTCAGATATAAGGAAGAAGTTATTTATTGTGAGGGTGGTGAGGCACTGGAACAGGTTGCCCAAAGAAGTGGTAAATGCTCCATCCCTGTCAGTGTTCAGGGCCAGGTTGGACAGAGCCTTGGGCAATATGGTCTAGTGTGAGGCGTGGGTGACGGGGTTGGAACTGGATGACCTTAAGGTCCTTTCCAACCCAAATCATTCTGTGATTCTTAGAGGGCTGGACAAATAGTGGCTGATGCCACCTCATGTTTTCATATTAGTACATTGGTACTAACAACACGTTCCTCCCTTAGTGAGGAATGTCATCCATTTTAGTTCTGATCAACCAGTAAGAGACAGACACCTGATGACTTCAATGGAAAACAGTCTACATGACTTGGAAATGTAAATCTCAATGATTATGTAATTTAACTTCTCTCCCTACACTGTCAGTTTGAGGAAGTGTACCCACCTACCAGAAAAAGCCCCAATAGCAGAACCTTCTGCCTTGCTGAGAGTCATTCCCCTTCACCAAGATCGTCAACATATGTCTTTACACTTTCAGATTCAGCTGTGGTTCTGTGTGTGCCACAAAAAGTCCCATAGCTTCCTACAGAATAGCAAGTTTTGCCATAGAATTTGCGATCACTGCAACACAGGTTGCATGCAACCTACATGCACGGGGAGGGCAGTGCTGACACTACCTTCAATTCAAGAGATGGATGCAGGAGATCACATGCTGTTAGAACCACAGCTACATTACTGACACCACTGTCTGACTAATCTGAGTATACGTTACTAGCATCAAATAACAGCTGAGAAAACTTTTTCCAGGGGGAAAAACAAAACCAAAAATAACCATGACACACCACCCAAACAATGAAACCAAACAACAGAAGACATGGACAGCGATTTTGCCAATTGAAATTTCTATTCAGAAGTGTACAAAGAGTACCTCCTATCAAGTGCTTAGCTTCGGAGACTCAGCAAAACCTTGGACTGCAACTACTTGCCACATTGTATCACTGCCTTGATCTAACAAGCAACTACATTAATTCCAGCTGCTTGGATAGAGGCAGGAAATATGAATATGTTCATTAAACATTATGGCCCCACTTATCTCCCTCATGATTTCAGTGGAGATGTGCCAATTCAATGCATGATGCTATTATGGTCCCCAATATCAAACCTGAAAGAAAAGCAATGAGGGTGTCACTTCTTACAAATTTCCCTGTCAAAAAATCTCCCCTACTTGCTGCTGGAGGAGAGATCTAGTCCTATGCAGATGATTAAAAGTTAAATACTTTGTTCAATGATTTTAGCAAGTTGAAAATCACTTTGCTTCCCACACACATTTCAATGTGCTCATTTGCGTCTTTTCCTCACATTCAGTAATTGGTTCACAACTGTTATTCACAAATTCCCTTGCACACAGAGATCAAACAAAACACAGAGCCAATATCCCAGTTCAACAGAGCGCTTGCTCAGAAGTGTTCCTAGAGGAACCAAACTCAGAGTTCAGTGCATGCTTTCATGCTTCACCAAATCAAGGGCCAATTTAATAAAATGTTAATAACCAAATTACCAAAACAGTTGCTTTAAACAAGAGATGACCAAAGGCCTCCAAAGCTTTGCATACATATGGAGAAATAATTACAGTATTTACCAAGGAGTCAAATGGAGTCAAGCACCATTATCCCACAGAAAGTCAATGTGAGTGCAAAACATTTGGACCAGTCAGCTAACACTTGCCTGCCACAACATCAGCAGTGACACAGTACCGCAGAAGTACGAGAATAAAACACAACCATTGGCTTACTGAAGAAGAAAAAACACCAGCACAACAAACCAAATGTTGTTTTCACACAGATGTCTTTTCTACTTCCCTTCTCCTCCCAAAACGTGGGAGTTCACAACCTAAAAACAAACAAAGGAAACCAGGAAATCTCAGTGGCAATCTCCACATATACCACCCAGCCTAAGAGCAGTTGACTGGCAACAACAGATGACCACAAACTCAGGAAAAATACAGTTCAGTCAGCACCTCCCTGGAACAAGAGCACACCATGCAAGACCTGGAACGGGTGTCCTTACAAGACACTTCAGAGAAATTACACTTCTTACTCTGAAAAAGAAACAAGGCTGGCAAAGCAGAATAAAGACCTCTTTTCCTGCAGCAGAATGCATAGGGTGGGGCATAGCTTCTTCCAACAGAGAAGTCTAATTCCCTCTCCCTTTAATGCCACTCAGCCAAGAATTTGCTGCAGTTCCCCCAGCCTAAGGGTACTCCTTGCAGGCAGTAACCTGCTAAACACAGATAACGAGCAAGATGCTACTAAAATTAGGCCAAAAATGTTCTGGATAGGGTCCTTCTACTGATTATTTTCACTGGCAAACCCCAGCAGGGCACACAACTCGGATTACAGCTGGCCTCCTGGATCCAGGGAAGTGGTTCTACAGCAGTGCTGCACAAAACCAGCCAGCAGGCCAGATTCCCACCTACAACTGAGGCTATTCAGGTCCTACCTCCTCCTAAGATTGCGAAAGGCTGCCAGCTTGTGGCGTGTCTGCAATACAAGAATCATCTCTGAGTTCCATACAGAAACCCCCAAACTACTGTTTGGGGCTGCTCATGGAGCACAAGCAGCTTTTGCCATGGCTTCAAGCTCCAGTTTCAATTGCTCAGTCTGTAGCATCTGGATATTCGTTTCCCCAACTCCTGATACTACATCCCTGTGGCACGCTCAGAAATTCCACAGCACAGAGCCATGGTTTTCACATTCTCTCAATTTGCAGACCCCATTTCCTCCACCCAGGAGCCTGCAGCTTACTGTCAGTGATTTCTGTTTTGATTGCATGGCCCTTAGAAGCAGCCCACAAGCCACCAAACTACAAACAGAACTGCTGACCCATCAGCTAGGTTTAACTAAAAACTACAAAAAGTAGGTTTTATGCATCTTTTCTACCCTTAGTCCCACACAAAATACAGCAGCATTTAGGTCTTCCTCCTTTCAAATGCTATTTCCCAAATACTTAAATCCTCTAGATCATGTTACTGCCATCACAGGTAGCAAACCAGATTGCATGTTCTGCCCCTCAGGAAGTGTTACCAGCTGTACACAGATACTCTATTACAGTGCCTTTCTTCCATGCAGTTTGGGGATTAGGTACTCCTAACAATACAAAAATCAAGGGGTACAGCTGCTGCTGCAGATACCTGCATCACATGCTATAGCACTCAGATTTGCCTGTCTGTGCCATCTTTCAGACCTGTATGACCACCCAGATTTAGGTTTTACAGACTTGTTCTCATCTATTTGCTTTCCCAGAAGTTTTCTTTCCCTATATTCCAATTGTTTTCTAAATCCACCTCCAGTGTTTTCCTTGTGGAGCACTGAAGCAAAAAGTTCCACTTTCCCCCCCAGTGTGACTTCCTAATTTGCACAGTCAAAACATTACTCACAAAAGGAATTTCAGAAACATATTATCAATTCTTTGTTTTCTACTGGGTTAACAGCCCCACTCCTAGAAAAGAGAGTGAGCTCCTCAGTTCTCAGCATACTTCTTGAAATGTTCTGGAAATGAACAACAGTGAAATACACAACAGCAACACCACAGAGGATCAGCAACTTAACTTGGTACAACTAAACCATTCTATGATTCATCCTCTTGTTCTATAACCCGTTACAAACTTCTGGATTGCACATCCTCCTTAACATGGAGGACTCTTATTTGTACCCAACTCTTTGCTTTCTTATCACTCACAAAACCTTAATTCAAAGTACATACCTGTGCTCAGAACCCAGGACCAGCAACCCCATGAAAGCTACAAGTTTTGAAGCAATCCAAACCCTCTGATAATAACTTAAAATCCATACCTTAAGCTTGGTTTTGTATTCACATAGCACTCTCTTCCACAAAGGCTCTACCAGCACCGTACTGAACAGCTGCTACTTGTAGAACAAATATATAATGCACTTCACCTGGTATCAGTGATTCCACCCCACCTCCCCTTAAGGGTAAAGTTTGCCCATTTAGTGGATCCACTCCGGCAAAGTTCCAACATGTTGAATGCTACCAAAATACAGATCAAGAAAACTGCCCGTGCTTCACAATGCTTAGAGAGCAGAAGTAAGCCTTAAAAGCACAAGGAAAGAGCAGAAGCCTGTGTTGAGCTAGATTTTAGTGATCTAGAAAACAAATTCTTAACTATATAACTTCATGTAAATTCCTTCAGCACAGAAAAGCCAGCATAGAGAAAACACACACAATAACTTTAAAAGGGGTGACTGCACAGTCAGGACAGGGACAAGAGTGATGACGTTAGTAAGAGGGAGAGATGCAAACAGGTCTGGAAGTGGTAACTTGTGCTACAGCAACACCCAAGGGAAATCCAGTTCTGGTCTTCTGGACCAGAATTAAGGACCTCTGGTCCTTAAGCAGAACAACAGACCAAAATAATGGGAAGACTGATTATGAGGCCCAGCTGAACAAGCAGGTGGTAGCACGAACAATGGCTGTTTGAGAGGTGAACCACAGCCACAAGAGAGGAGGCGTCCACTGACCTATGGAGTCAGACGCACACGCTGAAGGAAGTCTTTCTGCTGAGGGCTGAAATACATACAGCTGAGGATCAGATAGGCCATCAACACAGGTGCTGAGGGATGAATAATGACTGAGTATGTGCCCAAAACAGTGCTGACAAAGACAATTGATGGTGAGAAACTGGGAGGATGGAGCAGGAGCACAGAAAAGAGGAAAAAAAACTAAACAGTAGGGGGTGGAACAAACCAGGAAAAAGCACTAAGAAGCAAAAAAGGAAGATATAAGGCCTGGAAGTGGCAAATCTTGCACAGTCTGAAAACAAAATATGAAATAAGAAAGCCTCAGCAGGAGGGCAGCTGTGGCAAAAACATGAAGACACGCAGGTCTCTGTGAGACACTGAAGTGGCTGAGAACATATGCAGGTGCACAGCTGGCATTTAGATGGAGTTACAGAAATCAAGAGAAGACAGCAATAGCAGGAGGATGCATGACACTTGGCAGAAGTTAAATGCAGACACAAGAAGTGGTATGTCATATGAAAGGGAATGGGTGGTGCAGGGATGCAGAGTATGAATTTGCTCTAGTGACAAGAAGTAAGTCTTATAAGGAAAAGTGAAGAGCAAACAGCTGATGAGAAGGCAATAAACAATGAGAACAAGAAACCTGTGACAGGGAAGAGTACAGCAGTACTCCTATATAGGACTATAGGGGGGATCACAGATAAACAACCGATGAGCTAGTCAAAAAACACCACATACTGGCTTAGCAGCAGTTCCACCTGTCAAACTGCTTTGCTAGGGTATGGACTGCGCCACAGGAACTGCCTGGGAGAGGCTGTGGAGCATCTGGGAGAGAGTTCCTGCCTGCTAGTAAAGTGCTGTGTGCACTCAAGAAGTTGCAGAGACTTTAATTGCTCATTTCTAGATGATGTTGTGCAGCTTTTTGAAGGACTCACATGTGGAGCTCCATTGGTTTCCAGAGACACCATTCCTGCAGGAATATGTACATATGCAGGGAGAGCCTTGTGCACAGAGCCACCCTGCAGACACAGCTATTGCTGTGTCTTGGAAAACAGATGTTGCCAGGCTGTACATGGCATCTCTGAGGTTTGTATTTTAGAACTGAACTCATGCTAGGCCTCCAAAATCCTAGCCAACAGTGGAGTATCATTGTGAACTACTTCCCAGATGTGTTCCTTAGCTTTCAAAATTCATATTAAAAGGCAGAAAATGTTATTTTAAGGAAGACTTTTTTTTTATCTTCAAAGAAAGCTAAAACTTCAACACATACAGAACATCTTCTCGAAGAACACCAGAGGACAGATCTCTTAATTTACAGATTTGTACTATGAAAAAAATAGTACTCCAAACTATTAAAGCAGTGTGCAAAAACATGGAAACCCACCAAGACCTTTAATAAAAATGCCAGTCTTCAGAGTAACTTGATGTCTTGATGTGCTTTGCAGTAACAACCAAAAATGAAACAGCAGAGTCCCTTAAAGCCCAAACAGAATTTGAGTTACAAAATAATTTGAAATTCTTACCTATTTATATCATAAGGACAGAAAGTGTTATTCTAAGGTGCAGGCATAGAAAAACAAGCTCTCGTGGTAAGAAGCTAACTTACAGCCTATCACTCATTTACTGTAGATGTATGGGCATGTATTTTTGCCATATGGTAAAAACAAGGTAATCTTCAATAGAAGAAGTATCCCACATTTATACAAGGCAAGAGCTTTCCTGTCTGCAAGCAGTTTACAGGCACTTTAGTTTACTTTATGGACATGTGTGCCAATGCCCTGTGCAACTGCATTTCTGCACAGAAGGAACTTTCTCTTGTAGGTGACTCATCACAGCCTGCAAAAGTGTATTAAAGAGTTCACTTTGCTGTAGTTGAAAACTATGGGGCAACTCCATAAGGATTAACTGCCCCAAGTGCTCAAAAAACAGTCCCCAAATAACACCAGGGTTACCACTTATGAGGTTTATACTGAAACCTGCCCATCGCTGTAACGTTAACATTTTAAGAAAACAACTACTAGATAAAGCATTCTCAATATCCAGGTTTGGGTTTTAAGAAGTACTGCATAAAGATCTATTACATGGCTCATCCACAGACATCCCTGCTCGAATTCAGTCCTCTGCTGAAGAATAATCTTCATCTCTTCCATCTCTGTATTGCAGAACCCCCTCTGGTTCAAACCTAAGCATTTTTATATTCAATCTCTCTGCAAGCTTCTGTGCTGCAAGCTTGGCTTGCATTTCCTAGGAAAGAAAGGAAAAATGACACAAGTTAGAAAAAGCATTTTTAACCTGGTCATGAAAAAAAATAGTATACTGAAGTATAAACTTGACATAATGATACCAGTAATTGCAGAGTGGGCTTACTTAAACGTAACTAGCAAAGAAATTTCAGCTCTAACTTCACACTTAAACATGACTGTGCTATTAATATTTGAAGATGCAAGAGTTTGAATTGCTCATGTGGCAGTCCTCACCTGTGATACACTAATGTGGGCTTTAACAGAACAGAATCAGTCCATGTAAGAGAGCAGCTGTGCACAGTAACCATTTAGCAATAGCAGTGCTTGACATTCAGCAACCTCAGCAAAAACCTTTCCTTTTTCCAAATAAATTACCTCTCTTATAGTGTCACGATGGCTAAATTAGCAAGTGCTTTTAAAACAATAAGGAGCAACAAACACTTTTACGATAGCATCTAATTTACACATTAGCTTGGCACTACTTGGGAAGTCAAATTCAAAATCCATTACAACAGAATTTGAATCACCGCAGAACTCCGATTCTTCCAGCACACCATAAATATAGTCAAATACAGATACTTGCGTATTTTAAGAATAACAAATACTGCTAGGCCTTCATTAATGCAGGGGCCAAGAACTCTTCAAAAACTAATTTCTAGTCAGAAGTGGAGCAAGTGAAATGAGGTTAGCAATCAACACATGAAGAATAACATTCGATTTTGCTTAACGCAGGAATAACAGTTTCAGAAGGGATTATCTACATTAATTGTTACCATTAAAAGAATCAAATATAAAAAAGTACCTTTTCTCAAAGTCTGACCATCTCGATTGCATCATCAAATTCATCCAAATGAAAAGGTCCCTTTATGCTTTTTTTTTTAAAGTGATCCCAATTGTATAATTACTTTTCAGACCAAACTGTGAATTCATACCTCATAAACTGCTTTTTGCTGTATCTGAATTGCTATGGATTCCTCTATGGATAGCAGCTTAGTAGGAGAATGGTGAAGTGGTGGCAGCCGAGCTGCTGTGATCTCATTCAAATGCTTCTTATCTCTAAGTCGTCTTTCTTCAGCGGTAATTGGAGAGCCACATGCCCCAGGTGACTGACTGGATGCGGAACCACGCAATGATCCATTCTGCTCTCCTGATAATCTGGAAGAGGTGAAACATAAAAGTTATGCTGCAAATTAGGGTCACAAGTTTGAATAACTTCAGATCCAAGACTTGTTATTTTGAACTTGTAAGAGTTAAAAAAAATCTTAAAGTGTTATAACATCACAAACAAACAATAAGCAGCGCTCAACAAAACTGAAAAGGTTTCTCTGTGGAGAGACAATATCACAGATCACTCCTCATAACAAACAAAAAAGGTATGGCAGTTAATTAGCAAGCATGAGACGGCTACATTTTGGGAGTCACATGAAGTATAAAGCGCTATCAGTACAATGTGAATTGCGATTTCTCTAGAGACACAGGTAAAGCCAAAGGCTACCTGCTATTCAAGTTCTATGAGTTCTAGAACTGACCCACAAGAAAGCTTTGACAATGATCTGTTTTGTAGCTTAAGCTATGAAACTCTGTGAAGATTCATGACAATTGTTTCAAGAGGCTATAGTGAGACCACTGCTCAATATTCCGTGGCACTTAACAGAGCCAACATATTAACTTTGCATGTCAAATAACTTTAAATCTCTTTGATCACTACAAGAAAATTAACCCACTATGCTCGTTATGTGCCATTTCCAATTTCACACAAGTCAAGTATGTCACAAAAAATTTTTCTGTTCTGTAATACTTACACATTTGTTTTAAATTTGCTTTTCTTTATGACTGGGTTCTTGGCTCTAGACTCTAGAACTTCAATATAATGTGGAGTCTTGGGGTACAGGCTTCCAAAGATATTCCCCTTATGTTTAGCCACACTCTGCTCTTTATCCAATACTTTTTCACCATCATCCCCACCTACAATTGTAACTTTTTGAAAGGCATCAACCAACTCATCTTTACTGTTGTCCAAAGCACCTGCACTTTCTGCGCCATCCTCAGATTTACTCTGCGATATCTGCTCATCATTTTTCAGATGACTGCTTGTGTCTGACTTGGAGACAACTTCACAAAGCAGATACTGATCTTTTGTAACAGTCTTTACTTCTTCATTTTTCCTCTGAGTCCTTTGATTTTCCAGCGCTGTATTTGTGGCATCGTGTGCAATACATTCTGCCTCCTGCCTCTGGGAAGAAATCTCAGAAACTTCTTTAGTATTAGAGTTTTCATTACAGACTGTGGAATTTTCATTGTTTAGTCTGTCCTCCTTTAGGACAACTTGCTGTTTGTTTGCATTAATCTCATCCTGCTTCACCTGAAACTCCAGCCTAACTGCAGATAACAGCTCAGCTGTCCTTGCTACTTCTTCTTCCTGTGAAATGGCAAGCTTCAGCTTTTCCACAAAGTCGGAGACCTTCTTACCCTTATCTGGAAGCCTTGCAATGAATTTCCTAAGGCAAACAAAAATAAATAAAAATAGTAATTTGACAGGACAGAAACACTCCTGTTGCAATCTGAGATATGGAACTGTTTCATTAGACTAATATATTCATTAGGATAATATTAGAAAATGGCAGGGTTTTCACTCTAACGTTAAGTTTCACATTTACACACTACATTTCTGAAAAGCAGTGAGATGCAAAGCACCTGCAAGCTCTCTGCTGGGATAGAGAACTTTACGGGTTTTTTCTATTCAAAGACATAACTGCTGCTCTAAAGAGTGCAAAAGCCGGAAGCCCCTGAGGGTACATGGAGCTTCATGAGTCCCGAAAGGGCTTAAACCAGGGAGCGGGAGGCCTGGCCCGCTCCTCGGCGCCTCTCCTCACCGGTCTGCCAGCAGCCGCTCCTGCCGCCTCAACATGTCCCGCAGCTCGGGCAGGCTCCGGCCGCGCAGGCCGCCGCTGCCGTCCACCGCCGCCATAGGGTCCTGAGCCGCCTGTCACCGGGGAAGCCGCCCGGTCCCGGAGCCCCCGGCGCGGCTTCCGCAGCAACTCGGACGCCGCCATCTTACCGGAAGCGACGGCAAGCGGCAGGGCCGGACTTGGCCGGAACGCGAAGGCCGATGGCCCTGCGGGGGGCGGCTCGGGGGATCGCAAAAGGCGGGAGCTAGCTGTGTGTCTGCCTCCGGCGTAGCGGCGGGGGACAGGGTGAGGCGCCAGCGCCGCGCTCGCAGCGCTCCGGGTTGGCCTGAGCATTGCTCGGCGTTAACCGTGTGTTACAACGCCTGCGCTGCAGGAAGCAGCCGGTGTTCGACAAGCAAGAGTGCACGTTATCCTGGGTGCGAGAAGCTGCCCAGAGCAGGGGGAGGCTGCCGGCGTGAGCCCGCCCTACTCCGGGTGCACAAACGCGGCAAAAGCGTCAATGTTTCTTACGTTAATTACTTTCCATTTGCACTGGCAAAAGCCAGGCCGCTTCCGTGTGTGTGAGTGGTTTTCAGCAGAGCATTAATTTCTATTTAGGAATCGAGGTTTACTTTTTCGCGTGGCATTTAACGTGTGACAGAGACTGAACATAGACATTTAGACTGCAGTATAATGTCGGCCTGCTTATGCCAAACTTTCCCTCCTCATGCAAGTGCCATGAGCTTTAGTAAGTCTACTCCATCTAGCAGTAATAAGGTCATTAGCTGAATGGTAGTTCCCAGGCGGCAGATGTCAGCCCTTTTAAGTTGATCCCAGTGGAGGTTTCTTGATCCAAGTAATTTCAGAGGCACATTTCTCAGAGCTGTTAGAACAGTTGTTTTGTGAACAGGGCCTACCCTGGAGGGGCTGGAGGAGGAAGGGTTTTAAAATGTCTGCCTGCCCTGTGTTTGCTCAGCTGGACGGGGAAGGCTGAGGCCAGGGGAAATGAGATTAATCAAGTCAGCAGCTACCCATGGAAACAAATACCACAGCCAGTGTGAGAAGAGCCAAGCTCAGGGACTGGTTGAAGAGACCACTTCGCTGTGTGTGCCGCAAAACCTGGATCATCTGTGCAAAATCCCTTGGGGAGCATTCCCGGGGAGCTCAGGGAAGAGGAAATCGCTGAGATTTTCTCACCAGGAGATCACCCACTAAAGGGCACAGGTTCCCTGTGTTGCAGTTTCTGCCATGCAGGCTTAAGCTATGCCATCTGTGTGACATTCCTGCATCTTGCAAGAAGGAACACTTTATCCTGCTTTTTAGCCTCTTTCTCCTGTGCAGATCGGAGAAAGTGGGAAGGCTGGCTGTGGAAACAGAGCACTGTTTCTGCCTGCATGGAAGTGAATCCAAAAGGAATGATCTCATTCGACCACTGCTCTGCACTTACATGATGACGATTCATCTCAGTCCACCTGCTGTCATTATATGGACAAAAAAGTAATGCTGGTATTTACAGTGGATTTCAGCTTATGTGGTGAACTGCATAAATACAGCAAAATACAGCAAAAAGAAAAAAGTCCTAATAACATGACTGCTGGGAATCACAGTTGATCATTCTGTAGCCTTGCAGTGGAATGCCATTCACCAAGCCTGTGTTTATCCAAGGTCATTGTGAAGGAATATTACGGATCTTTATAGTTAGGGATCAATAAGTGTTGGGAATACCGTAGTTCATTTACAAGTAACACACAGTTCCAGAGTGGTGAACAAATAGCTGAAGTTTGGAAGGTGCCAGAACAAGTACATTCCTTCTTATGGAGACACGGGCAGCATTCAGATACAATGCAATCTAGATAGCATCCGTTCAGACATGAATGTGAAGAAGGAAAAGCAGATTTAAGCTTCCTTAGTCAAGAAGCAGAAGTATGGAGCATCTGTGGGACTGAGGAAAGTTACATACTTAGGGATTGCTTGCCCTGGGGTAAATACAGGTAGGAAACTCTCACTATCCACACTCCGAACATGAGTAAACACCACCCAGCAGTACCTACTCCAAGTTTAGTCTTAGGACATTACTCTTGCTTCTCTTAAGAGACTGACAGACTGGCGTTATTTGCAGTGAATGGTTTTATTTTCCTCAGAGCATTCTTGGCCTTTTGATTTGAGGCTAGATTTTGTATCATTTTCTTAAGAGATTTTGATTAGCATTCACAGAACAAAGTATATAGCAAAACAGGGTTTTAATCATTTCTTACATAATGGGCTTTCCTGTATTTCTCACTTAGGACATTCTCTCAAGAGCTATTATGAGGTACAGTTTTCAGTCAGTCTGTTTTCAGTCACTAGACATTTAAATATAACTTATTCTGCAGTAGCATGGCTGCAATTACTATGCAATTTAGTATTACTTCTACAGGAAAATTGTTAGAATGACAATGAAGATCAGGTATACTAACAAAAAAGAATAAACTGCATGGAAAACACAACACAAAGTGTGACCCAGGAATATTATTCTTTGTGTATGGTATAGATAAAAAGAAAGGTATTCAAATAACTGAGGAACTTATTCTAGATTAGATTTTTTCAATAGGTTACACCCGTTACAAGAAACATTACAACAGACAGTTGTGCCCCAACTTTTAGTGTTCCTGTTTTATCAATGCCACTTGCGACTAAACTGATGCGTTCTAGCTGTATGACATTTTGGGGGAGATGGCCATGAAATACAACTGGCTGAATTCTTTCAAGTGGAAAGATCTGCCAGCAACATCTGAGTCTGCACAAAATCAAATTGAGAGTAAAACTAACACTCTTGCTTCTTTTCTGCTAAAGGCATCATTTCCACCGTCCATTTGTCCTTTATTCAACTTTATAACTATATAAATGTTACTTCTTTTCACTAGGAAAAGGTGCAAAAGAGCCTTTGGCCTGTAGGTCTGTAGAGGAAAAAAACCATCCTTTTACAGCTTCTTTGCTCCTAGGTGAAAATATTGAAGGGCAGGAGAGGAATCATGCCGCACTTGCAAAATAAACTACTCCAAAAGAAAATTTAAAAAATGGTATGAATATTTGGAATGTAAATGAATCATTTTAATTTCCTTTAAAAAAGCCCCCACTTTTTTAGTCAGCATGATTTGTAATAATTTTAAGTTAATATAAGGAAAATAACTCCTCCCTTAACCTTATTTCTCTAAAAAAGCCCCAGACACTTTAAAAGCAATCCTATATATGCTTATATCTATCACCATACTGTTTTATGTATGGGAAGCAACTGTCAGGTTGTTGTAGCATGCCTAGACACCCCACACACCTTTACAGAATATTGTAACCTCATAGGTGTTCACTTGCACATATTTTCTCTTTAATCTGCCAGGTCCCTTTTTCTCTTGAAAGTGTTCACATACCTTAAGTTGCAGAGGTCTCCTATTACCTTGTTTTCCTGTGTTTCTTCCGTGTTCTAATGATTGAGGTAGGGCTGGAAGGGCCTTATCTCATTAGGTCACTTAAGAATATTCCTTCTTTTACACATGCAAGTAGCCCCAGGTTCGGGAATGAAATAACATGTAAGTGGTGTGAAACTCTCAGCATGTACAACTCCATTCTGTGAGCAGGGATTTCCTGTACGGAGTTACAGACTTAGCAACGAGGAGAGAACTTCTTACCTATTTGCTTATCCATCCGTGTCTTCAGATGTCAAAAGAAGGATTTAAAGTCTCTTGCAAAAGCATTAGTACCCAACTCCTAGGATCCTGTGTTGTAGGCTCAGCACTGATCTCAACAAGATTTTGAGGTCCTCTTGGCAACTTAATACATGTACACAGGGAAGCGCTGTTCAAGTGAAAATCCTCATATTCTTCAGCTGAGCATTGCAAACCAGTAACACTCTGACTGTTACGTTTGCACCATGACCTCTTCTTATTCAGTTGACATGTAGATTGTTTCATTGTGACAGTCTTAAAGATAAATATTATCAGTGAGGGGATATAGACTGTAAAAAAATATAAAAAGAGGCCACAGTCATAACAGACTCATCATGCTGAAGCCTGGAGAGCATCATCCCAGATGTGTTCTGATGTTATCTGTGGGATCTGAAGTTGTAGGGTTTTTTTGCAAGGGATGTGCTGCCCAGTTCTTGTTTATCCTGTGCAAGTCAATAGTTCTTTATTTTATGAGAGTTCATCTGCTTTTGTTACTTGGCTTTGAGAAGAGTCTTTAATAAGGGAGTGTCTTTCTGTTCTCATGAGCCCATCTGCCAAAGGAAACACTGACAAAAACATCAAGGCTCCAGGGGAACTGCTGTTCTATTCATACATGTTTTGAACAAACAAGATGGTGTAAGAGTTTGCAAGGTCTTAAGGCAAGTTTATTTCTAAATGAGTGTTGACACAACAGAATAGAAAGTTTAAATACAATATTTATTGCAATTTATCCTTTTCATGTCCTACGTACAGGAGGTATTAAAAGCATACAACGTAACAGCATTATTTATATGGCATATATGAAACTGTATCCCAAAATACTTTCCAGAGTATCTGAAATAAATCACAAAAGAATACTTATCATGGTACAAATGTAGTCATACAATTGACATATTTAATGCACTTTCTGGG